CGAGCTCTCCCATCATGGCTGCGCCCTGTGTTGTGTTCTGAAGAGGGTTCGTGTCGCCTGGCCTGGACTTGTGCCCACGCTGCAATATGAGGAAGTAATGGCCCTATTTTAACGCCTGGGGAAAAAAATGAGTGTGTTTGTGTGATGCGAGGTTCGAAAACTGGTGCGTGGAAGCGAAAGAGGCATAATTTAATAGATAGATATAGATTCGTGCTGAGCTATTTCATATTTTTTTTTCGTGAGTATTTTTGCCTTCCGCGTGACAGTTTTGTGGCTGCAGAGGCTTTGGTGTAGGGTATGTTAGTGAAGGTAATGTGAAGTTTAGAGTTATTTGTACATTAGGGATAATTCCGAGTCCCAAGTAGTTCAAAAGACCAGCAGCATCAATGGAAGTTGCAAATGTCTTCACTTCTTTAACGTTAGGAGTTTATTTAATTTTTTTTTATTTCAGTATTTTAGAATTGTCTTTAAGGCCGTTAATTAATGTAACTTCTCAATGGCCTGGCCTAATTAGGACCGAGGAAATAGGCTTTACTCGCTGAATATCACAGCCTAAGGAGTTAACGATATATAATTTGAGAGCTTAAAGAAAACGGGAATTAGAGGGATGACTTTTGTTTTTCAGTTGATTTTTATTATTTATTTTTTTTTTATATAGGTATAGGGATTTCTAATGTAGTGTTGTGATCTACATCATTCCTTTATTAATTTTGTGGTTAGAATCGTTGATGGTAGATATAGAAAGTTGATGAAAATGGAAAATGTGGTCAATATACAATATTCAGATACACTGGTAACAATTTTTTTGTATTTTTTTTGTACTAGATATTAAGAATTGGTATTAAGTACATGATTTCAAATATATCATGGTTTTTGGGCATCAGCAGTACAGACATACACTACTGTGGCAAGAGTAACTGAGAAAATTCGCCAAACCTTTCTATTTTCCATGTTTTGAGGATCGGGAGGCTGTTGACCTTGTGAGACCTTTCTTCATATACTATTAATTCTCCATAAATACTTTTTGTTCTTAACCCAGTTGCCTTTAATTCAAAATTTTTGTGGCATTAACCAGAGGCAGAGCAAAAATCCATCCGCCAAGGACGTTGCACACTTACTAATACTCCTAGTTCTGTTTAGTAATTTGCGTGCCTAGATTTGTGATCGAGATTACTTTATTTAGTAGTTGTTATATGGTAGTATGACATTAGCGTTTGTTGAAACAGGGTGAATGTGAGTGTGAGAAAAACAAGATGGACACTTGTTTCCCAGTCGCACTGTTTAGCAGTGTAATACATTGCCAACATTTTTAGTTCTTTATTTATTTTTATTTATTTATTTTTTTTTTTATATAGGTATAGGGATTTCTAATGTAGTGTTGTGATCTACATCATTCCTTTATTAATTTTGTGGTTAGAATCGTTGATGGTAGATATAGAAAGTTGATGAAAATGAAAAATGTGGTCAATATACAATATTCAGATACACTGGTAACATCAATTTTTTTGTATTTTTTTGTACCAGATATTAAGAATTGTTATTAAGTACATGATTTCAAATATATCATGGTTTTTGGGCATCAGCAGTACAGACATACACTACTGTGGCAAGAGTAACTGAGAAAATTCGCCAAACTTTTCTATTTTCTATGTTTTGAGGATCGGGAGGCTGTTGACCTTGTGAGACCTTTCTTCATATACTATTAAATCTGCATAAATACTTTTTGTTCTTAACCCAGTTGCCTTTAATTCAAAATTTTTGTGGCATTAACCAGAGGCAGAGCAAAAATCCATCCGCCAAGGACGTTGCACACTTACTAATACTCCTAGTTCTGTTTAGTAATTTGCGTGCCTAGATTTGTGATCGAGATTACTTTATTTAGTAGTTGTTATATGGTAGTATGACATTAGCGTTTGTTGAAACAGGGTGAATGTGAGTGTGAGAAAAACAAGATGGACACTTGTTTCCCAGTCGCACTGTTTAGCAGTGTAATACATTGCCAACATTTTTAGTTCTTTATTTATTTTTATTTATTTATTTTTTTTCTCATGATTAACAACATTTAGTGATAATGCAGCATAAATTGTAGTATAATAAGGAAAAAAAGGCAACAAGCAAGTAAATATTAGATATGTGAGTAGCAATGGTGACCACACTTACTTCTCTGCACACAAAAGCACACATGTGCGTGCATGCATGCACACACACACACACACACACACACACACACACACACACACACACACACACACACACACACACACACACACACACACACACACACACACACACGTACACACACACACACTCGCACGTACACACACACGCACACACACACAAGCACGTACACACACACACACAAGCACGTACACACACACACAAGCACGTACACACACACACACAAGCACGTACACACACTCACACAAGCACGTACACACACACACAAGCACGTACACACACACAAGCACGTACACACACACACAAGCACGTACACACACACACACAAGCACGTACACTCACACACACAAGCACGTACACACACACACACAAGCACGTACACACACACACAAGCACATATACACACACACACAAGCACGTACACACACACACACACAAGCACGTACACACACACACACACACACTCTCTCTCTCTCTCTCTCTCTCTCTCTCTCTCTCTCTCTCTCTCTCTCTCTCTCTCTCTCTCTCTCTCTCTCTCTCTCTCTCTCTCACTCTCCCCTCTCCCTCTCCCTCTCCCCTCTCCCTCTCCCCTCTCCCCCCCCCTCCCCCATTTAATAAATACATTGATTACTCACAGCTACTAATTAAAGGAGGCCAGTCATTGCCACATGCCTTGGATTCTTTGTTATTGACTTTGTCTGTAACTAAAAGGCAGAGGACATTCAACATTAGATCAATCGCATCAAAAGCTACAGAGATGCTGTTGTCTCAAGCTTTGCATTTAGTGTTTCCTAGTAAATAGTGTAAGCTGGTGTGTCTGTAACCCAGTGCTTATGGGCATTGTAGCCATATACTTGGAATTTTGCTTTCTCTGGCACTCTGTATTTAGTTATGCCATAGAAATAAAATCAGACTCCTTAGCAATTTAATGAATTATTGCAATTAGGGACTGTTTCAATTTTTTCAACAGTCGAGTAAAAGCCCATTATCATCCTGCTGCGCTCAAACTAGAGCCTGGTCCTGAGACACCTATGGCTGTTCAGTCTTTGTTAATGGTAACATTGCAGTTACACCTCCTCCTCCATTAGATAGGAACACTAGTCAACCTTTAAAACAAAATCAACCTTAAAACTTTTTATTACCTCTCTGCCCTTCAAACATTTAGAATTATTTTATAACTGCATATTTATGTATGGTTACTCTTTTCTACTTGTATTGCACCTAATTCTGCAATCAGCTGATATTTTATCAGATATGCTGAATTATTTTATGAAATTTATTTTTTGAACAGAGAAGTATTTGTCGAGGCTGGCATGTAACAAAGAAAGGTTTGAGTAGAACCTTATCTCTCAAATCCATTAAATTTTGATAATCCAACAGCTGTTGAAGTTAAATATACCTATAGTTGCCACCAGGCAGACAGAGAGGAAATAGAGCAGATGAAGAAATGAAGAAGGGAAGGATAGAAAGAAAGAGGTAAAAAAAAGTGTGTAAATGAATGAATGAGAAGGCAGATATGCTCAATAGCTTTATTGAAAGGTGAGGTCCTCGGTTTTGAAATTTGCAGAATTTCATCATCAAGTCTGAAAAGGTGGAAAAGAGGAAGGTATATGAGAGGATAATGGAAAGCCACAGAGTACAAGTAAAACAATATAGGCTGACAACCCCAGTCCATTTGATGAAGGAAGAGGACATTGTTGGTGTGTCCCCTTGATATTGTTAACACATTTTCTGAACCAAATGTTGCCAAAATGCTTAAATAAGCAGTTTCAGATGGTTACCTTAGAATTGGAGGGAAGTGTTGTACACCAGGCTATGGTGATATCTGTTCATCTGGCGAAAGATGAACTTCCAGTTTAGAGGGTAAAAAGGAAAACAGAGTGGACGTCTTCATTGATTGAGGAGTCTGTCTAGAGTGGACAGCTTGTGAAAGTATTGATATCACTCTTGCCATTAATGTATTTAACATAATAGATATGGAATGCATGAATTGCTTTTAACCCATAATGATTGAGCATATTGTCAAATACACTGAAAGAAAGTCATCTCAATTTAGTGCCAGCTTTTAACCTGTTCAGTGTGGTGATGTCCCTAGAATTTCCCATTTTCTGAACCTGGCAGCACAGTCATGGCCTTAAAGGGGTTGCTGGTGGTCTAGGAAGACATCCAATGAAAATTTCTGAATTCTGTAATTTTATATAGAGATTTCAAACCAGCAACTCCCTTTAGGAGTTTGGTATGAATGGGACACAGGGAGTGTGAACTACTAAACCTGGTACTGTTGAGTATCTTCCCCAGTCCTCCAGCCACAGAGGGCTCTCCCTCTTCCTCCCCTTGTTCCAAACCATCAGAGACTTTAACTTGCTCTTAAATTATCTTGAATTAGGTTTAATACATATTTTTTGCTCAGTTTATCCTTTTACATCTTCCTCATTCCCATTCACATGTGAAGGGTAACTTATGGGACTGTATCTCTGCCTGAGGATTCACTGTGTGTGATCTTTCTACACTGTCTAGTGCAGTTTGAAGAACATTATTTAAGCCACATGTGTCGGCACCTGACCAGGACTCTAGCTTCAAACTTGATAATCACTTATGTGATGAGTTTCTCAATAGTAAAATTATCTATAGGAAGATGGCAAGTGATTATTAGACGTGTATAATTTAAAAAATAATTTTTGATTTGAGATGCTTGCTAATGCAGCCACCTCATTGGCATTTTTCTCAGATTCTTTCTTACCTCTTTATCATTCAGTATGGATTTTTGAAAACTCATTACACAAGCCATTACTGGTCTCTCAAACCATGACCATTTTTGCAGTTTCCAAGGGAAAATGGCATTATCTGATATTCATTTCAAGAGCAGTGTAATTTTTATATAGTGATAAAAGGAGTGATATAATTTCTACTCACTTTTTTCACTTTTTAATATTTGTACACTATAGCATTGATAATGAGATTTTATCTGTCTTTATGATTCATTGTTATATGTGAAAGTAATATGAATGAAGAGCAATGGAGGGCAAGTGGAAAATAACAGATTTTTAAAGTTTTTGACACTTCGTAGAGGTGAATAAAGATGGCTGGAGTTATTCAAAACTTGCTCTTGTTATTTATTTTTTATCTTTTAGTTTCATTATCTCATTTTCTTGCCTTTTCATTTTATTCTCACTCAAGTTTAGCTGTTCATCTTTTAACCCATTGCCGTCGGGGATGGCATGTTCATACATGCCATGCCCACTGTGAGGCGACTTGTTCGATTGTTTGTACACAAAGATGGCTATACTTGTACTAAGTCACCAATGAGCCAATTTCGAGTACTGACTGTCTCGCCTGTTCACCCTTTTCATCGATTTAAGAAAATATTTAACGTTATCCTAATTTGCTGTTAAAAATAACACCATCTATATTTATAGCACTAGTAAGAATACGTTTTTTCCAGCCAATTTAAGGAAAGGTGAAATCAGGACTAGCAGAGCCATCTATGGACAGACATATTTCACAAAAATATAAAAAATGAGTACTGCATTCTCCCCATTTTTTGTTCATTTTCCCCGGCAGCAATGGGTTAAGTCAGGAAAAATGCAGTATTTTCTTCGGTTAAGATATGCAATAGAACAATATCAACTTGGAGAAATTTGAAGATCATAGCATTATAGACAATGAATAAACCAATTTGAGTTAAATGACAAAACTGTGGCATGGTGAATAATGTGTGGAGACAAAGTCCCCACATACCCCTAGTAAAGCAATATATTATATCATTGTTCATCTCTTGGAAATGTACTGTACTATAAAAGTATTTCTTTTTTCAAATTTATTTGAAATTATATTGAAATTCATATTTATTAAATATTCATTCCTATGATATATGTGATCTATTTTATTATTAACACCACAATTCTTGGCTCAGGTTTGTCATTTTTCCACTTCCTTTATTATTTTAATTACGATTCTTGGCTTGGATTTTTCTTTTTTCACACGTTATTTTACTTTTTTTTATTACCTTTTATTAGTGATCTCTATATTCATCCCCCCCCCCCAAAAAAAAAAAAATAAATAAATAAATAAATAAATAAATAATAATAATAATAATAATCTAATGTGATCCCCCAAGACTGTTAGCTAGAGTTTGGGACCTTGTCTCTGACGGGTGTAGTCCTATTTGTATACCTTTACCTTCTCTTCTCCTTATGGAAAATCTGTTTTATATCTTTATAGTTATGTGCATTTCTTTTCTCTTTCTTTAGGACTGATATTTTGCTGCCATCATTGTATCTGATTTGGTTTGCAGTGATATTTGCCTTATGATTAACCTGTTGGATCCGGGTGCCTTGTGGCTCACATGTAGACTTAGATCCAGGCATTAGGCTCAATTGAGTAGTGACTCTCCAGGGTGTGGGGCTTGTGGGCCTGGCCCATGTGAACAGTTATGCAGCTTATTTTTTTGTAATAAAAAACTACTAGGAAAGGAATTAGCTTGCTGAATTTTGTACCATTCTTATACATTCTGTGACCAGAATGAATGACATTGGTCCAGAAGTTTTTTAAATCATATATGTATGAAGGGGTATGAGTACTGACTACACTGGAAGATCAATAAGTCAACTGTTGGCAACCAATTTTTACAATTGATAGGTTCACTAATGATGTGCAGAATTCAAAGATATTTACTTGGGAGTTGACAGTTTCATGATTTCATTTTTTTTTTTTTATATATATTCTTTATTATAGTTTTAAGAAGTGGATACAACATTATGGCATAGTATATAAAGGACTTTGTCCCCTAGTAGATTTTACAGAATTGAATTAAATTTTTTTTTATTTTTTATTTTTTTTTAACCCAATGGCGCCGGGTGTACAAAAGAAAAAAAAAACTCTACGCTTAAACAAACAAAGGCGGCGCGCCGACTTTGAGCGCGTGAGTAAGGGACATCAGCCCGAATCACTGGTTCGCCGCGCTTTGGCGCGCTGCCGGCTCGTTCGGCTGTACGCCAGCTTTTGAGCTCTTTGTGTACACGCCGATCGGCGTCACCCGGCACCAAGGGGTTAAGAAAGAGAGGGGTGATATATTTTTTTAAGAAATGATAAACGATATGCAATATGTTAAATACTGTGCATAATTTTATACTGCATCCTGGTAAGCAGTGAGTTGTGAACTACTTTATGTCCTCCCAAAAGTCCACTTTTTAGCTAACTGTAACAACTTGCAGGCCCCAGAGACAAGGAAAGTTGCATCCTCCTCAAGATGACCTTTTGAGTTCCTGCTGCAGGTATGTTATATGGGAGAGTGGGAGAGAAATATGCATGTTTCAAGGCTGCGTGTCTCTGTTTCTTTTCTTTCTCTGTCTTCAAATTTCCTTTGAATCCTCCTTTCTTCTAGGACCTTTTTCATATTGTTATTATTTTATTTCATTCAAATTGGCTTGTACCATGTATGTGTGCATGTATGAATGTGTGCCAGTTCAAGGGGCATTGCACATTGCCTTGTGACAGCTTTTGGACAGTTATGTGTTGGATAAAGATTATTCTTTACAGTCTGAAAGGTAGGCTCTTGTTATTGATATTAGTTTTAATTATATATTTTTTTTCTCTATGGATCGTCTTGTATACTTCTTCCTTTTATTTTGATTTTTTACTTTTCTGCTGCTGTTCTTTAGTATTTGTTTTATATGGTGTTTTGTTAATATGTAGTCATTTAGGTAGTATAATTTTGACAGTGATATAGATGACGTACATACATTGAAGAAGCACTGTAAATGAGGGTATTATTATGATAATGCTTACTATTGTATTTTGAACATAATTTTAAATTCCTCATTACTATTATTGTTCATTTATATCTATTAATGTTATTTGTTATCATTGCAAATGTTTTACACTCTCTCTCTCTCTCTCTCTTTCTCTCTCTCTATCTTTTTATTTACTTTTTCTCTTTGTTGCATAGTAAAGTAGTGATTTTGTTTATTCATATTGTTAAAGCATAGCATTCTTAATGGCTAGGGTTTCTGAATCTGTTACTAACATCATAAGTAATGGTATGGTCATTTTTAATGTTGCTATCATATGTTGGTTCTTTTGATGTGCTTTAATTGTATTTTTGTAATATCTTTTTAACTATATTATTTGATTTTTATTTGATAACAATTTGCTAGTGTTCGTGTAATGCTGCTGTTAGTGGTAATAGTATTAATGTTACCATTAATAGAAAAGGTATAATTGAAAATGGATATCACAAATCATGAGAACTGAAATTCTGGATTAAAATTTAGATCAAAATTGCATGCAGATGTAGTAGTTAGGAGCTGAGGATTCACAGGATATTTGAAGCTATGAAAGTTTTATATATCTAGCTTTTAGTTTTGTACTAAATATCCTATCTCTGTGCCTGGATGTGTTGATTGTTTTTATATTATTGCCAAAGTACCAGCTGCCTGTCTCAGAGATGAGGTTTGCATTAATGTCAGGAACTTTGAAATGGGAAAGGTAAGTTCTTTCCTTTGTTATGATTCTCTTTCCATCTTTCTGAGGTTTAGAAGAAAAGTCCAGAGGCACTGTTGCTCCATAAGGGATATTATGACTTCATTCTCAAGGACTGCAAATAATACTCTGAGGAAGAATAAAAAACAGCTCTTGCTGTATGGAGAATGCTATTGGATTTCATTGTCTTATTGTTGGAGTCCATCCAAGGCGACTGCCCAAAGCCTAACTTCAGGCAAGCTTTCCAAGTAGGAGTTTAGAACATCCAGTCCTTGCGGTCCTTGCGGCAGTTACCTCTACTATTAAGGGAATTGGAGTAATTGGGAGTTGAGGTGGCTACCCTCTCAGAGGTGAGAAAACCTGGCAGCGGCATGTTCAGTATCAGTGGGTACACCCATCACTGGTTGGGCTGTGGTGATGGTCATCACCTCCAGGGAGTAGCCATAGCCATCTCCAGCTGATTTCAACCCTCAATAGTTGAGGTAATACTGGTTGATGGGCGTATCATGGCATTGAGACTAAAGCATGCTTTTGGCTTTGTGTCTCTTATTGCTGTGCACACTCCTATCGATGTAAGCAAACTCAAAGTGAAAGAAGTGATCTATGCCAAACTCACATCCGTGGCAGACAGTTGCCCCAGGCGAGACATTTGCTACAAGATGTCTGTTGGCTCAGGAGCTGATCCTAGCAGCGAGAACAACCTCCTTCTCTGGGACTTTGCTAGGTCCCAGAGATTGAGGATTTCTGGCTTCTGGTATCAGCGCTCCAATCCACATTGCAGGACATGATATTGCGATACAGATACTGTGGCCAAGGAGATCGTCCACATACTTATAAGCACTCAATGGAGGATACTTCAGAATTGCAGGGTATATTGGAGCTCCGAGTTCTGTGGCTTGTAGTGGCTACCCTACGGGTCCACTTCAAAACTCCTTGTCCCTCCAGTGGCCACTCTAGGGTGCCTCACTTGGACAGACTGAATGAGGGTAGTGTGCCCATGGGTTCACCACAGCAGTCTCTGATCGATTCACAGAACTTGAAAACCTGACGAACCCAGTTGCTCCATGGGAGTCCTTCAAGAGCGAAACACTTGAAGCAGTGCAGGAGTCCATTGGTGAACGCCTGAGGGCAAAGCAGAATTTCAAATATTTTGTAACGGTGATTAGGAAGATATGTAAAGATTAGTGTATCCATTCTTAACCCAATGGTGCCGGGTGTACAAAACAAAAAAAAAACTCTACGCTTAAACAAACAAAGGCGGCGCACCGACTTTGAGCGCGTGAGTAGGGGACATCAGCCCGAATCACTGGCGTGCCGCCAGCCAGTTTGGCTGCACGCCAGCTTTCGAGCGCTTTGTTTACACGCTGATCGGCGTCACCCGGCACCAAGGGGTTAATGCTAATCCATATGTTAATAGAAACAGAATTATTGTTATGGAAAGAGGTTAATTCAAGGATAAACAACAAATGAGGCAGATAATTTTACATCTGTTAAGGCCTCATTACATATGAGATATATCAGATTAGACAATATGAGGTATTTGAGAATACTCACCTGAAACATAGTCATTACCATTGTCCTTTAAATACAGTAAAAAGTAAAATAAAAAATTCTTGTTGCAAGAATCCATGAAATAAAGAGAGTATATCAAAATTTGGGTTAACATGTCACATGCAAACATACTAATGCAGCAGCACCTACAAAGAAAAATCCTTATGATGAAAAGTGTTCATTGCAGCACTTAGAAAAAGCTATGACTGAGAGAAAACATCATGACCAGTTTTGATCATATCTTGCCAGAAATATATGTATTTCTGTTCATATAATCAAACTAGGTCAGATATATGTTTTACACTATAAAGATATTAATCCTCATTCATACCTATTTATAAATCATTATGATTTTAATGGGAAGATGAAGAGAATAGTAATCTAAACTGGTTATCTTATGAAGTACAAATATTACTGCATACATATCTTTTACATATTTTACATAATTACTTGAAATTATCACAGTTTCCCCATGGTTCTCCACATACTTATACTCTATCTAACAGAAAACATGATTGTGTATTTATTGAGGATGTGGCTAATTCTGCCTGACTAGGTATCACTGGTAGTAGTGTCTCATATAAAATAAATGTTCTTGTAAGGTTCAAGAGAACACACATAGAATCAATAATTGAGAAGTTAGAAGTATAGTAGTTAAGAAATTTTAAGTTTCTAAGACTCCTGGCTATGATCTTCCTTTCCAGGGGCCGCATAGAGCTGGGGGATGTAACGCCCCACAACATAAAGCAGCTGAAATTGCTGAACCAGGTGGTTTTCCCTGTGAGTTACAATGACAAGTTTTACAAGGATGTCCTAGAAGCTGGGGAACTGGCAAAGTTAGGTAAGACCACCAAGCTCCTATGTATGTAACAATATGTATATGTGGGTGGGTCAGTGGGTTGGTGACTGGATGGAGTGTTTATGTTAGAGAGTGAGTGAGTCTATGTGTACGTGTTTGTGTCTATGCGTGTCTCTATCTCTGACCTAACTGACCGATTGTGTATGTCTCTGTCCTTGGCAAGGTGAGTTAATCTTTCATTTGGTATTATCATAAACCATTGCATCACATTTTGCTCTTTGTGTATATCTTAAATGATTCTCTACTTTATTAACCTAAAGGTGATAGGGACCAAAATAATAATGGATCATTTCAGCACCTTGCTAAGTACAACCCAAGCCATTATTCAAGCCTTCAGACCAGTGAAGGCAATGTCTGTCAAGGTGGAATACCCTCATAATCAACTGTTTTCAAAGTTATTTTCAATTATCTTCACCTTATAACATCATGTCACATGACCTCACATGACCTAACATCCTGTCAAGTGACTCAAACACTTGGCATATGGAGTAGCCTGATTGTTTGCAACAATATATAAAAGATATTTTTTGCATCTTGGATATGGCAGTAAGGAATTCCCAAGCAGTTCACTGGGTTCTAGGATGCAAAATGACCCTGGCAAAATTCAAGTTAGAGCTTGTCAGAGAGCCCCTACAAAAGGGAGAGACACAAAGGACAATGAACCTCCACCCCCAACACAGCTCCTTCTCCTTTCCCTGCTGCTGCTGCTGATGCTCCTCCAGCAGTTTCACATGCTAGAGGATACACCATTTTGATAATGGAGGTGTGCACACAGCTGAAGGCAGCACTACGGAAGGAAGGAGACAAGAGTAATGTGTTGTATTTGGAATGTCTTCCTGTGCTCAGGGAATTCCAGGAGTTTCAGGAAGCTCATTGAATATGAAGTGGAACATAAGCCACTGATTGTATACAGTAAACTGGTACACAAATCTAGTAATATGGAGTATACACTACAATATAAGTCAATAATGTCCTTCATAGAACATAACATATAGCTAAAATAAGACTTCAAACAAAAACATAAAGTAAAAATGGCAGAAACTTTTTGAGGCGGGAGTGTCAGCTCATTCCCACACATTTGAGCATCCAGGAGGCTAACACAAGTGACTGTCTGTGTTTGCTAGAAGTGATAGATAGTGAATTCTTGACCTGTTGCCATTGAGTTGATATTTTCTCAAAATATTTGTATGTGAAGTCTGTTCCTCTTATGCTTTACATCTCTTGCATAGTTACATATTTGATTACCCTTTTTCTTTTACCCATCTTCCCTTCCCTTCCCTTCCTATCTTCTCTACCTCCCTCCCTCCCTCCCTCCCTCCCTCCCTCCATCTGTTTCCCTATCAGTTTCTTTGTCAACCTATTTAGGAATTTGCAGATGTATTATATCTCGCAGTATCTTCATACTGTCCTTGCTTGTAATAACCTCAGGATA